GCCCCGCGCCAGCCGGGGGCGGAGCGAGGGCGGCAGGAAACCTGTGGAACTCGTCCTGCGGGGAGAGGAAGCCCATTGGCCCGGCAGGTGAAACGTTGGCCTGAGAAGGCGCCGAGCACTGTGCTTCACTTCTCGTGCAGAGGGTCTTTTTCCCTCCCCGCACTGTAAGCGGGGGATTGAAAAATGACCAGCCAGCTGCAGACACAGGAAATGGATACGACCGGGGGAGGCCCGCACCAGATGCGCCGCGTGGGCTGGCCCGCGTCCTAGCCTAAATTATTCACGCAGGATATTGCCTGGTTGGGGAGTCGTAGGGCCTTAGCCATAGGTTAGTTCAGCAGCGAAGGTAAGCCTGGGTGGTTGCCTTTGGCGGTTGTCTGGTTGGCCATTCCTAGTTCTGCGGGGGAGAAGCTTTCATCAGAATCTCATAACTTATTTTTTTATGCACCCAACCAGTAAATGCATGCCTCTCCTTCCTGCCTCTCGGGGAGGTTGTGAGTTGCTAGTTTCGTCTGAAGTTTGGCCTGTGAAGCATCCATTTATTCACTGAGTAAAGGTTTTGAGAGCTACCATGTTCCAGGCATTCTTGCAAACATTCGCTCATTATAGCAAATCGCTTACGTGTTGGTGGTTTTCAGATTCGCCACAGAGCGCTGGGGATCGGGATAACGTGTTGGAACCCCACCTTTGCTCTAGAACAGTCACAGTGGCGGAAGCAGAGGATGACGCGGCTGGGGGAAGAAACGGATTCTCCTGACACTTGAAAAATAAGTGAATGAAAAACATTGATGTCAAATTCCACGAGCATTCTCTCTCTGTCTGGGTTTTCCTGTTTGTTTGTTGTTGTTTTGCTTTGTTTTGTTGCTTCCTGACCACTGACCCCCTCCTGCAGGAGTCCAACTGGGCAGGGTGGGGAGGGCACTGGGTGATCTGGAAGCTTGGATTCGATGCCCTTCTGTGTCCATAACTGGCTCTTACTGGGAACACTGTGCCTTCAGCCTCCACAGCCTTTCTCTAGCTCCACCCCCTACTCAGGGTGGGGATGGGCTTGGAATATAGATAAGATTGTCACCCTCCCAAACTCTGGGTAGTGACTCTCTTCTTAAATCTCAGGTGCCCGCCAAGCTGCCCCACTACAGAACGCAAGTCAGAACTGACATTTTTGGCTCTCAAGTAATTTTTTTCATTGCAGTAAAATATATATATTATTTATCACTTTAACCATTGATAAGTGTACAATTCAGTGACATTAAATGCATTCACAATGTGTATAACCATCACCACTACTTATACCCAAAACTTTTTTTTAATCATCCCCAATGTAAACTCTGCATCCATTCAACCATAACTCTTCCTTCCTAACTCCTCCCAACCCCTGGTAACCTCTATTCTACTTTCTGTTTCTATGAATTTGTTTTGGGTACTTCATATAAGTAGAATCAGATAATAGTATTTCTTCTGTGTCTGGCTTATTTCACTAAACACAATATTTTCAAGATTCATCCAACTTGTAGCATGTATCAGTAATTCATTCTTTTTTATGGCTAAATAATACAGTGGTACCTCGGTTTTCAAACGTCTCCGTTGACGCACATTTCGGTTTATGAACGCCGTAAACCAGGAAGGAAATGCTTCGGTTTTCGAAAATGTCTCGGAAGTCGAACAGGCCCCGCAACTTCTGCTGAGGGCAAGATCCTGAGGCCTAGCTGTTGGCTGTTGATCCCTTGGTTTTCCAACGTTTCAGACCTCGAATGGTCTTCTGGAACGGATTACATTCAAAAACTGAGGGACCACTGTTTTTCATTATATGTTCATTTGTTTATCCATTCATCTANTGGCTTTCCAACGTTTCAGACCTCAAATGGTCTTCTGGAACGGATTACATTAAAAAACCGAGGGACCACTGTTTTTCATTATATGTTCATTTGTTTATCCATTCATCTACTGATGAACATTTGGGTGGTTTCTCCTTTTTTGGCTACTGTGGCTTCCCTTTGTGCATATACCAATTAATGGAATTGCTGGTCACAATGGTAGTTCTATGTTTAACCTTTGACAAACCGTGGTCAGGCCTCTTTTACTGCATGAGCAAAAGCAGCGTGGGCTTACAGCTCAATGAATGAGCACTTAAGTTGCCCTGAAACCTGTTTAGTGTATGGAATGAGGACTTCTATAGTATGGTCTTAAGTGAGAAAGTAGGTGGGGGAGTGGGGGCCTGTGGGGAAATAGTCCTTTCCTAGAGTGGGAAAGAATGAGAAAGAGAAAGAAGTCAGTAAACTGCATTATTTTACATAGTGACACTTGCCTAAGTTTAAAAGACATTGTGAAACGGCTTCCTAATTTATTTATTCTTGGGCCTATTATACAATGAAATGGAGTGCAGCATTTAAAAGGCAGCAGCAGCCAAACGAGAGGGGAAATTTCAGTGTAGTGTGAGAAAATAGAGACTAGAGATTATGTCTAAAATATATTTTAGGAGGCTCTTTGATTTTGCTCCAATTAAAAAGCCCTTACCCTTTCTTCTGCCAAGCCTCTGGGGACATAATTTCTTGTTTTTAATGTCAAGGAGCAGTTCCAGCTGATATTTTTTCCAGTTATTGAAGCAGGCCAGTAGAAAATACATGCCTAACCCATCACCTTTCAGGAGGCAGGGGCTTCCTTTTAAGAGTTTAAATTATTGCTCAAATGTTGATTTCTTTTTTAAGATTGATCAGATACACTGTGCATCTGTCCATAGTCCCAGGGGCAGAGTTCATATGTGAGTTTGGAGATTTGAGTGGAGCTAAGGTTGCGATGTATTGTCAAGTAGTTACCTAATTTATGACATGTGGCAGGTTATGTACTTATTAGCCTATATAAGTACACGTAAAGTGTCGTCACACCTGTAATTGAACGCATATTGTCCGAGGACATGTTTTAGAAGATGTTGATGCTCTTATCAAGATGTAACCTGGAGCTCAGTAATAGTTTAACTATGCATAATATTTAATATGTCAACGTCATAAGTCAAAGAATTCCAGGAACACCCATCACACCATTCCTGTTCCCAAATTAAGGTCAATATCCAAAGGAGGAAATAGGAAAAAAATTGAGAGTTCAGAAGAGAGCCATATATGGTGACACTGCAGAACTTAATTATAAAACTTTTTAAAAAAAATTGTAAGAATGGAAGTTGGGAAGCATTACATGAAGGGGATCTTTATTGAATGATTTCTGCCAAATATGAAAGAAAGTTTCCTGATGAATACAGTCATTAAACACTGGCAAAACAAAATAAAACAAAAACATTGGGATGGGATTCTCTAGTAGGCTATGGAATTTCCTTCTATACAGGCCTTTGAAAACAATATTTTAAAAAAATCAAATAGAATAGTTCTGCACCATCTTTTTCCTAAGCCAAGTTATACTGCAGATGGGGAAATCTGAAACATGTACTTTATTTCTCTCTCTAGGGATGAGGCAAGAACTAAGCTTATCACCTGTGTGGGGAGGAATAGGCAAGATGGTTGGGCTTCCCAGTCGAGGGGCAGATGGCAGTTGGGAAGTACTAGTATAATTCTGACTCTGGGGGAAAGCAGATGCAATACAAACTCTTCCAGTTCAATATTTAAAAAAAAATTAAAATAAATGATGCCACATAAACAACAAGTTAAAATCTACCCCAAAGTTTTAAAATCCATGTCTATTTTCTGTATGGTAAATGTTATAGATCACAACATGTGAAGTGGGGAGGCCTCTGAAACCATTCAGTAGCGTGATTTTCCCACCAGGTTCTGAGGGAGCCCAGGGAACTAGTGAGGGGAGGAGCTCGTGTTTGAAATAAAGTCTTCTTGCTTTCCTGTCTGCCTCTTACCACTACTTCAATATACAGCTTCTCCTGCTTCAGTTAGAACTCTTCCACTAGTATTTCTTTCACATGTTTCTGTTCTGTATTAGTTTCTATATGAGGGTAGGAGAGAGTGTTGCCTACCCCACAGTAAACAAAATTTAAAAATCCAATCCTCACCATCATTCTTCAGAGAAGAGGCTGAGCTTCAGAGGGTTTAGTGGCGTGGCTAAAATTACAGTGTTCCATGAGGATGAAGACCCAGCTTTCCTGACGTCTAGTGGTGTGTTGTAGGGGCACAGGAGACGAGGACAGAGCAAAGCAAGGTTTGTTAATGGCAGAGACATGTGCCTTATAGGAGAGTGTGTGTGGCGGGGGGAGCCCAAGGACCCTCAGACATATATAATGTTTGTGGGGAAGGAAGTGTTTGAATCTAGAGCTGTCTTGGTGGGCTGCATTTTGCAGTTATCTATTGCTGTGTAACTAACCACTTCAAAGCTTGGGGGCCTAAAACAATATTTTTTCTCTCTCTCCTAGTGTGGTGGATTGATGGGGCTCAGCTGGGTGGTTCTTACTTGGGGTCTCCCATGCAGTAACAGTCAGGTGGCAC